ATATAATATATGTACAATTTGCATACATAAAAAAATACATGATTTGTACGCATATTATATGCTTAATCCCTGCAATTATGTATTATATACGCATAATATTTGTACCCATTTTCCTGATGCTACTACCAAGTCAGGCACATATCTAAAAACTACTAAATAAAATTCATTAAATATAACCTCACTAAAAGAAAAGAAAAGAAATAAAAAATAATAAAAAAAAAATAAACAAATACAAAATAAGAGAAAATTTATTATGCTTGGGATTTGTATGAATTCATTGTTAAAGATAGATTTATTATCATTACAAAAATATAATTCGAAGGACAAGGACAAGGTTAAGGACAGTGTTATTTATTAAATTATTATTATGATGATGATGAAGATGATGAAGATGATGCATGAAGTTGAGAAAATTACAACATTATTTATACATGTTAATATTAGTTATGATTCAATTTACTGAGTTCACACTTTTTCTACACATGATGTCCTTCCAAGGATTATTTGAAGCAAAAAAAATGAAAAAATGAATCCTGGGCCAGGAGCAACAATTTAGTTAATAACAAAAATAAATTTATCATTTGTAAGTATACCTGATTAGATCTGTAATATATATTCTTTCTTTTAAAGATGCATTGAGAACCAATGACACAAGTCTGTTCAATTTCTATTTATTGTAAATGAAAGTTGATATACTAATTACTTAATGAGCAATCATATCTTATACCAATTTCCTTGGGTCCCATGGTAAACCTAATGTAAATGAATTTCATATTAACTATTTTTGTCTAGATAGATATCTAAATCTAAATCTAAATCTAAATCAAGACTTTTAAGAAGGTGTATTTTTTTTTTATATAACAAGATTTCCAAATAAAAAAAAATTAATAATATTTAGAGGTTTATGGGGAAGTTGCCCAGATCTACAACACTTCTCTCGTTATTATCTACATTTTCATTATTAAAAAAAATGTAAAGCCCAGTATAGAAACTAGACTAGTGAATATTTATTAGCCTCGTGATAATTTACTACTACTACTTTGATACAATTCGGAATATCTTTCCTTTTTATCTTGTACACAATACCCGCTATTTTTAATTATTTATTCAAAAATTTTTGATATAAATTTGATATAATCACAGTTAATATTAATAATTCTTCTTCAAAAAAACAATACACAAAAAATGGCAACTCTACAAAAAAATACCCCTTCTCCTCCAAAACCATGGGAAAGAGCCAATAATAATAATAACAATAATAGTAACATACAAGCAACAGCAACATTAAATAGATCAACAACAACACCAGTAGCAGCAACACCTATGTCAAATTTTCAAAATTCACAAAAATGTCCCGTAATAAACGATAGTAGCATCAACAGCAATAGTTCATTACCGGCTGTTCCACCTCGACCTACTACTACATCAATGAACACTAGCATAGCAAATAGAAGTAAGCTTTCAAATCATTAAATATGAATTAATTAACAATGTTTTTGTATAAATATTAATTTATATGCATATATATCTGTACATACATATTATATATAGATTATGGATCTTATGGTACAGGGTATTCACCACATTCAAATTATAATAGTTCTTATAATACCACATATGGCAATTCATATGGTGGTTATGGGTCGTTGTCACCACATTCTAGATATGGATCAACGTACTCCTCCTCACCTTACAATGGATTTGGTGTTGGGTATGGTAGTGGTGGTTCATATGGCTCACCATATAATCGTTTTGGTGGAATGGGAATGATGGGACCACCACCGCCAGGCGGGCAATTTGGCAGACCAGATGATATGATGACGACGATGTCGTTAACGCAAAGAATCGAAGCCAACACAGCAGCAGGGTTTCAAATGATCGAATCGATGGTGAATGTTTTTGGCGGTTTGGCACAAATGTTAGAATCGACCTACTTTGCTACACATTCATCGTTTATGGCGATGGTTGGCGTGGTGGAACAATTTGGTAATTTGAGAAATTATTTAGGACAAGTTTTAAGTGTTTTTGAATTGATTAGATGGTTGAAATATTTATTTTATAAATTGACAAATAGACAATTGCCAATAGTTAATGGCGGTGGTGGTGATGGTGGTAATGAGTTGAGTTTAACAGATTTTCAACAGTTTCAGAGTAGTGATGGTGGTGGTGGTGGTAATAGTAGTATTGATAGTAATAGTAAAAGAAGATATTCTAGACGACCTTTAATATTTTTTATAATTGCTGTATTTGGGCTACCATATCTTATGCATAAATTTATACGCGCTTTTTCTGCTGCTACTGACAGACGTCGGCAACAACAACAACAACAAAATCAATTTAATTTTTCAAATGATAATTCATTTTCTTCTGAAAAAATAATAATACAACAACAAAAAAATGGACAAATCTCAAATATTAATAATGGTAATGGTAATGGTGATAATAATTTATTAGCAAATCTTGAAATGTGTCAAGCACTTTATGATTTCAGGGGTGAGACACCAATCGAATTAACGTTTCAACGTGGTGATATAATAGCTATTATGAGCAAGGTGGATGATACGTGGGGACAACCTTCTCAATGGTGGAAAGGCCGATTAAGAAATGGCGAGCAAGGATTTTTTCCAGCAAACCATGTAGAAATTATTAATAAAATCAATAAAGAATAGAATAAATAGAAAGTATTATATAAATATAGAATTTATTTAAATGTATTATTGCAATAATAATATAATAATATTAAATAATATTTAAACGTTTTACTTGTACATTTATTATTATTACTATCATTCTTGGTGTAAAATATAAAATTATTTTTTAATTAAAAACAAAAACAATTCTAGCTTCATTTATTCATTAATAGTTAAAAATTAATAATTAATTTTTTTTCTATTTATTAATTAATATAAAAAAAAAATTATTATTAAAAAAAAAATAAAAAATATATACATATTGATTTATAAAATCTAATAATAAAATTAACCATTGTTTCGTTTATTGTTTGTTTATTCGTGAAGAATAATAATAAGAATAATAATAATAAAACATACATGTATCATTATTATTATGAATAATCCATCCAAAAAAATTGTCCATATGATGAACGTGCAAAAAAACATTACGTTATTTATATATTATGTGTGTGTATAAATTATGTTGTGATAAATTCAATATTTTTATAATTAATAAAGATGATGATTTAACATAGTTTGTCTGCATGAATCTCGTTTCCTCTTTCTTCCTTTCCCTATTTCTTTAATTTTTCATGAAATATTCTTTTCCTTCATATCATTTTTGCTAATATTGCTAATTATTATATTTTATTGGAGGTACGTTGAATAGTCTTGAATAAATTATCCATAAAATCCATTCTATACAATAAATAATGACCTCCGCCTTCTATAACTTCCATATTAATATTATTCATCCGATTGCTCATGTACATCCAAGCATTTATCGGCACATTATCATCAACATCGCCAACGTAAGCTTGAATCGGGTACGTGGTCTCTTCATATTTGAATCCCCAATCAACTTTCTCCAGCGCAACCAAAGCATCTATATGTGCACCAGTTCTATTCTGTAGATTCCATAGACCATTCTGATATATTTGATTATGTATAAAACTTCTACCGGGTGAAATTGAAAATAACAAATCGTCAATATTATCGATGTTTTCAATATTTTCTGGATCTAAGTCATGATTTTGGTTGTCATCGTCATTTGTCACCCCTAGTACAGAAGTTGACGATGACCGTGATGAAGGCGATGAACTATAAAATGATGTAGATGATGATTGAGAAGTAGAAGGTGACGCATTAGAGCCTCCTAAAGTTCCCCATAAATTCAAAAAATTAGGCAAATTACTCAATCCTGTACGTATTAAAAAATTTGGAGCAAATTTAGCTATTCCTTTATACATTGTAGAAGTTCCAGGGACACTTGTTGACACCCAAGGACTAACCATAAATATTGGGCCGGAGATTCTTTCAGGAAATAATAATGAGTAAGCTAGTCCATAAACAGCACCCAAAGAAAATGTCGCCAAACCAAATTGCCACATTCTTAGTATTAAAGTTAATTCGTTAATCATCTCTGCAAATTCAAACAGGTTTGGCACACCGGGTGTTGAATATATATCATCGCTATCATTATAACCTGGTCTATCGACACAAACTAATCTAATATGATGTTTTTTAGCAATGTAATGATACAACACTATAGAAAGTGCAGGTCCCATATTGCCTATTGATTAAAAAATAATATGGACATGAGAGAGTGTTTTCATTTAGGAGAGAAAAAAAGTAAATAGTAATTAAAAATAATTGTTTTTCATACCTGTGAACCAAAGGACAGGAAAACCATTGGGATCACCAACTTCACAAACACCAACTTTTTTACCACAACTAGCCAAAGTAATAACTTGACGAGAACGAGGACTTTCTAATAGATTTTTTGCTTGTTTGAAGGTCATATTATGAATATAACCATCTTCCATGTATGAATCACCACTTTGTGAAGAAGTTGTTCTAACGACCATTTTATTTCTATTTATTCAAGATGTTTATTTATGGTAAATTCAAATTAATTTAATTAATTTACTCTATTTAGTTAGTTGCTTATATGTATTGTAAAATAATAATAACAAATAAAATAATCAATGATAGAGAGATAGATATAAAGGAAGAGTAAGAAGAGAGAAGGAAGAGAGGAAGAGAGGAGAGGAAGAGGAAAAGAAGTAGGAAGGATAGTAATTAATGTGCTATTTATATAAATAATAATTTATTATAGAGTATAATAAAAAGAATGAATAGTATAGAGAGAGGGAGAGGCTGAAAAAGAGAAAAGGAAAGTGATGATGTTGAAAAAAGAAAGAAACTTTATTGATAGTAAAAGGAATTTCGAATGCATTTCCTCGTGTTAATTTGTATGACTTAATCGTCTAAAGTTAGAATCATGATACAAACAATTCATAAATTGTATTACATTTTATTTATTTTTTTTTTGTTTATTTAATAATAATATTTAATTATTAACCAATTATTCTTGGTATGCCAATATGCCAATAAAACAAACATTAGTACTAGTAGGATTTCTTGTATTATTTATATATATATATATAATTGAATTTGAATTATATAATACCATCAAATACCATCAACGCTAACCATTAATGATATCTCATTGTCCCGTCGTTATTCACCGATAAAAATAAAAATCTATCAGATTCAGATAAAATTATTTTTTTGCCATACGTTCATTGTTTTTTTTTTTTTTCTAGTATAAAAAACCATTCGATATAAATTTTCCGAATTTTTTTTATTTTTTCTACAAATTGGATTCTTTAAAAAAAAAAAATATTAAAATTAAAATTTGAATTTTTTAATATCAGGTAATTTCCTGTTTCTCATACAAGTTTTTTTTTAATTACATCTCTGCATATACATATTGTCTTTTTCTTCATTGTCAACAATTTTGATTGATTGCTTGATTTTTGATTTTTTGTTTATTGCTTATTTGTTTATTGTTTTTTTGCCTCTTTTTTTTTAATATATATACATTATTTTGACGTTATTTTTACGTTGTGGGCGTCATCTTTTCCATATGCGATTTCTATCGCTAGTTCCATATACAGGACGATAATCAATTGTTATCGCCTTATTCACACAATCAAATCCCACCAATGAATCAAAAGCTTCGAATAGCAAGCTTTAATATCCGATATGATTCTAAAGGTATCGATCCATCCCCACGAGCCACGAATGAAGGTTTCATAATCAATCAAAAGCTAGAAAAACGTCAAGCAAAAGAACAACCGTGGAATATTAGAAAATATAAGGTTGCTGACACTATACTGTTTCATAAGATTGATATCGTCGGCATCCAGGAAGCAATCTATTCGCAAATTAAAGATTTGGAATCGTTGTTGGCTAAAAATAATGATGATGATTGGGGCTGGGTTGGCGTTGGTAGACATGATGGCAAACCAGATGGAAATGAAGGGGGTGAGTTTACCCCTATTTTTTATAACAAGTATGTGTGGTACTTGTTGAATTTGGGAATTGTTATTATAATTAGGCTGAATTGAATAAATATAATCAATTGAAATTTGTTTATTTTAGAAATCGATTAAAATTATTGGATTTTGAACATTTTTGGCTTTCTGAGGTAAAATATTTCTTTTAATAATAAAAAAAAAAAAAAAAGGAATTTTAATTTTAACATGAATTTAATAATAGTAATATTATTGTTATTTAGACACCTAATGTTCCGAATTCCATGGGATGGGATGCAGCATTAACTCGTAAGTTAATCTCAAGAGAAAAAACTTTTTTCAATTGTAATGTTATTTATTATACACTTAATATTAACTCGAATGATTATTTTTTTTTTCTAGGTGTTGCTACCCAAGCAAGGTCTTGTAAAATAAATAAAATCCCATTTCAGATTCTTCTTGCATTTCTAACAATTATTGTTATTATTAATTATTATTTATAGATTTCAAAATTTACAAACTAATTCAACATTTTATCATATAAACACACATTTTGATCACCTTGGCATTCAAGCACGCTCAGAAAGTGCAAAATTTATAGTTAACTATACAAACAATTTGCTAAAATCAACAACAACGACAAAAACATCAATTGTTTTCTTCACTGGTGATCTCAATTGTAATGAGTCGGATGAACCTTATAAAATAATTACAGGGGATAAAACAAAAAACGATTTAAAAATGGAAGCGTTTGTTGATACTAGATATAAAATTTCTGGAGAAGGAAAAGAGTCATACGGTCATTCCAATACTTTTACCGGGTTCAATGCCGATGTTGAACATGTTAGGATTGATTTTATTCTGGTTCATCAACAATCTTTAACCGGTGATAATATAAAAATTATAAATCATGGTGTGATGGAGAATCAATATGATGATGGATTGTATATTAGTGACCATCGTCCAGTTATCGCTGATATTCTATTCATTTAATTGAATATTGAATAGACAATAATTCCAAGAATAATCGACGGCAATGACAATAATAACAATAAGAATAATCATAGTAATTTACAATGATTAGAGAGACGGATCAATTTTTACAATTCCCAAAAATCGGTTCTTTTATTCTAAATAAGCATTAATTAAACTAATGCATAAATTAGTCATTATTATTATTATTATTATAAAACGCGAGAATCTAATGCATGCATGTATATAATAACATTCAAAACAATAAATACGCGTTTTTTATGCTTAAAAACCTGTTATAATCACCCAATTAATAATTTACACATAATCTTCATGTTGTGTGCTTAGAAAATCTCTCCTTCACAAACTTCAAGCATGCATTGAAAATAATGGTTGGTCATATTAGTTTTCTAAAATTAATTAATACACACTGTCGTAATTGTTGGGTACATGAGCTACAAAAACAAACTGGTATAATCAATATGTGCATTTTTTAATTAACACATTTGGGGCCAATATACTTTTGTCCAGGTACGAACGGGAAAAACTTTATTATTTTTATCGCGCTAGAAAATCGAATTTGGAATCATTTAAAAAAAAAATTTTTTTTCTCACCCATTCATTTTTATCGTATTAGTGTACTTATTATTATTATTATAAAGTAAATGACATCCGTTGAACTTGTGATAGTGACATCTTTTGAACCAGAATTAGATGATGCAGATGGGATATCTCCCAAACTAGATGAAACGGTTTTTTAAACTACTATTTTTTTCAGATTAAAACTGACTCATACATATATCATTATTACTTTTATCTATTATCCTAATTTAAAGATCATAAGTTCCTATAAAAAAATAAAACCGATACTATTTTCTATTAATTCTTATAATTTGTTATTTTTTTCAATGGAAAAATTTTAATGTGTAATACTAGTCTAACATAAATACCAGTCATGATAAAACACACAGTTTCCAGAAAAATGCGCATATTGATATATATTAAAAAAAAAAATTTTTTTGATTACTTTGGATATTGGGAAAAAAATCCAATTTCTTCTTGCTACAAAAATTGGAATAAAATTTCAAATGGAAAAAATAAAACGCCTACTCTATGATTGTTCAACAAATATTTTATCACCAAACCCAAAATACATGGTCCAGAATAACATGTTGTATTATCAAAAAGGTTTTTATAATTTTCATTTATAACTTCGCTTGGTGTTGAATAATCACAGCATCCCCATCTGACTCATATATTACTATCTTTTGTATTTAATAAATTAATTCTCATATTTGTTGAATGAACCATAATGGATAGTTTAATGGATTTCTCCAGGTGCTAAAATTTGTCTTTGATATTTTTGTGTATACATGAGGATTAACTTGTGAGGACAGCGAGATTTGAGAAAATTCATCTTAATAATAATAAGCGACCAATACCTTACAATCGAGTGATTTAATATATAGAATAGAATAGCCCCCGAAGTAATTATTCTCTAATAATGTTTACTCGAGAAGCCGTTCGGGTGTATATATTTATCGCTGTTGAGCTTTTTTTTACAATAAAAAATCTTGATAATATTAAGGCGCGTAGAGATTGATAAAATTAATAATTGAAATTATCATTATGTAATCAGATATTGAGTTAATACATTACGATAGTCATGGTTATTATATTTGTAAGCCCAGAAACATCATCATCAATTAAATACTGTTTAGTTCTCAAACTCGCACTAAAAATAATAATTTACGCGGAAGAAGTAAAAAAAAAGGAGAAGTATTTATTTGAACGAAACCTCACCGAAAGTTCAAGATACACGAAATATTATGAATCTAGCTCATTACAATGCTTAGAATACGTAAACGCAATGACTCAAGCATTAATAAAAAATTGATAGAGCACCAGTTCCTTAATGTATTCAAATGTTGGAATGAGCATAATCCAATTCTTTAATAATTCCAGCAACATCAATCTCAATGAGAGGTTGTTGGTAATAATGGCAGCAATAAACGCACAAACTTTGAAGCCAAATATTGTAAAAAAATCGATAGCTTCAATAATAATGGAGATAAAAATTTCAGTTTAGAATCCAACTTCTGTATTTTTTTTTTTTTTGGACGTGAATTAATATTTTTTTTTTGAACGAGGGAGCCAGGCATTCATTAATTGATATAAATACCAGAAGTATTATTATTTAGTATAGTACTCAAGGAGAAGAGTTATTTATTAACAACATAAAGTACTTTTTTTTTTTTTTTATAAATATCTTGTAATAATAAATGTAATTGTAATCAAAACGTGGAGCAAGGTTTGTCGTGTCTTCTATATAGGTAATCATTATTAATATCGTAATATTAAATATAATAATTACAAGAAAATGTCGAGGGTAAATAATGGCAACATGACTATTGAAGATGGGAAAACTGTTCCTAATTCTATATGTAACTTTGAATGTCTAAACACTAAAGTTATTTCCACGTTCCACTTTGATGAGTTCCATATAAATTAATTATTTTCCTGAGCTTTCTGTTTCTTTGATAATTTTTTATTTGGTCAATTGTATTTATTATTTTTTAAATGGGAAGCTATTGAAGCTTTTCACTTGTCAAAAACCTTCCAACTTGTCAGGACTCTTTCACCTATAGAAAAAAATTCCATGGTGCTTAATTGCATGTTTGTAGTAGGAAATTTTGACACCCGTGATCAATATCATCAGAACTATACAATTGGGAAGGAGAGAAAATTTATTATAACGACAATAATAATGATAATAACAATGACATGTTTAATTACATGTATATACAGTACAAACAATAATGTATGAAATAGATCCTTATTTCAACAATCCTTAGATCTTGCACACTCTTTGTAAAAATTTTTACAAGAGGCTTAATTTCAAAAAATATAATACATCGTATCAATAATTCAAAATCAGAAAGGAGGAAAGCAAGCCTTGGAATTATTCAGGAACTTTCCTTTGATAAATTTAAAAGCTCACGCGTGAAGAAATTATCAAATGTGAACACTCGATCATAACAAAACATTTTCATCCAATTCTCAGGATGCTATACATTCTGAAAAATGAAAAGAGTGGTGTCAGAGCTTCATAGTTTTGACACCAAGTAGAAAAATTCTTACCTTTGACATGCTATTTTTTGTATGATCATTTATTGAAATATGTCAAATTAATTATTTTAATTAAGAGTGGCAGATTAACAAAAACAAATAAAAACGTAATTAATTTGAATTATTTTTTTTCTACACCTCCTTTTCACCATTATTACTAACGTCATCACATTTTATCCAATAATTTGAAATTGATAAATTAATAATTGAAGTTTTTATTTAATGATTTAATAAATGAATATGGATTGGCCTGCTATATTGAATTAGTTTATATTCCCTTCATCTATAAATATTTTTTTGATTTAATAATCTCTTTTCAATTTCTCATATTTTTTAAAAGATTAAAATTATATTCACCTAATTGTTCTTTGGTTTCTTCATCTTTGGTCTATTTTTGTATTGGAGTTCAACATCTCTTATTGTCAATTCAGCATAGAATTCAGGAGTGCCTCCAATTATTTCAGGTCTTCTCCCCTTCAGAATGTCCAGAATAAGACAACGATTATGTGACCTATTATAGAATGGCCTTTGCCTGATGTATGTTCCCATATTGTCATTATAAAGCCATATTTATTAGACTCTTTTGTATATGATTTAGGTTATAAATTCAGGTGCAAAGTAAGATATTATTCCAAAACTTTCGCTTTCAATTGTTGACATAGTCCTATCAAATGATATTATGAAAAATATTTAGTTTTACGATTTGCCTTTAATCTAATAACATGAACAATATAATTGTATATACATATGTCAAGTACCTTGATATATAATGGTATAGTAAAATAAATCATTTTCATTTAACCCATAACTAACATAAGATGCAACTTCGCCATTTGCTTTTAACTAAAGAAAGTAGGATTGCTATGGATATGTATTTAATAAAATTTATTTATAAGTTTCTATTTTATAAATTTTACCTCTAAAATTTTATCTCTGGAATTTTATACAACTATCCCTTAAATTTTTGCAATGAATTGTAAAAACAATTAATCAGTGTTACTTTATGAAATTCTCCAAACCACCATTTGCTGAATACTCTATAATATTAAACTCATAAAATGAAATCCATTTTATAACACGTAGTTTTTCTGCATCCGTAAAGAAATCTACCTATTTCTTTTTTTCCACGTATATCAATTTATTTTTATTTTTTCTCACAACTATATACCACGTTATTATCATCTATATTAGTTATTCATCATGAAATATTTAAGAGCTTACAATCAATCCAATTTTTTACTATGTTTAATGTTTCATTTAATACAAAATACCGGTTATTGTGATCTAACATCGTTGCCAAATTTGGAATCATTATTTTATTATTATATTCAATAGTTACAGTAACAGTAAAGAATGTATCCATTTCAAGTAACTTTCTAGTGTGGTTCCAAAAAAATTCTTTTTGAATGCATCGTGTAACATTTTCCTTTCATTTAACATTAAAATCTTCCTTTTTTTTTGATCAAGAAAAAAACTGCAAGCTATAAAAATCGAGTTTTTAAAGTATGTGTTTGGCTTTCAATTAATATAATTAACTTTTCGAAAAACTATAAAAATTTTTAACTTCTTTTTTTTTAAGAAATGAGAATTACAATTACAACCGAAATTGGTGAGATCCATCTTTTGGAAGTTGATTCACAAATGGAATTAGAAAACATCAAGGCCTTAATTGAAGCTGAGGTTTCAATAAAGTTTTATTTTATTTTATTTTATTTTATTTTATTCTTTATTATTGTCACATTCTTGAATGTTGTGTGATTAAACATTGAATTGTTTGATTTTTTCAATTACAGACAGGAACACTAATAAATAATCAGATTCTCTCTTATCATGGAGTAGAATTAACAGATCCTAAAAAAACTCTTGAACAATATAAAGTTAACCAAGACGATATGTTATTGCTTAAAAAACGAAATACCGGAACTCAGACAACTGCTAGCACGTAATAATGTTTGATATAAATCATTATTGGGTTAAAAAATAAAAAATGTTAATTTACTTGACGGCAAAATTTATCATACTGTTATTCTAGTATTCCACTAGAAGCAGAATTATTTCGTCAAATGATACTAAATCAGCCTCAAATGATACAACAATTGCGTGAAGTAATGTTATTATCAATTAGAGGCGCTAAAAACATTTCTTTTTTTTCAACTATTGCTGCTATATTGATTATTTAATTGGATATTGTTAGACTCAACCAGAATTAGCCGACGCTGCTTTAAACGATAGCGAACGTTTTGCGACGCTCTTTCAACAGATGGAACAACGAAGACGTGAAGGTGAAAGGCAGAGGATGCAACAGATAGTATGTTAGTTCATTGATATTATATTAGATATAAGATAAAGGTCACTACTGATAAAAAAACGATCAATTAGGATATGCTTAATGCGAATCCTCTTGAAGTTGAAGCACAACGAAGGATCGAAGAGGCTATAAGAATGGAAAATGTTAAAGTTAATTTTGAGACAGCCTTAGAACATAATCCAGAATTCCTTGGTCAAGTAAGTCTTACAATAGTAATAAAATCAAAGTCACCATATTGTATATACTATATGTATTGATATATATATATATACACATACATACATTTATTAAAAATAAAAAATTTAGGTAACTATGCTGTATATCGACGTTGAGGTAAATGAACATCCTGTTAAAGCTTTTGTTGATTCTGGAGCTCAAGGAACTATAAGTAAGTGTAATGAATAAGAAACTACAAATTTTGACATGTTATTTAATTTTATGGAAATTAATTGATATTTGTGAATCAAGTGAGTCATAATTGTGCTGAAAAATGCGGGTAAGAATTAAATTTGCATTTATATATATATGTAGCTATATGCACTCATAAGTATTTGATGATTTTTATTTTTATTTTAATCCAAAATTAAAATATTTCCTCATTTTCTCTGTGACATTAGAATCATGAGACTCCTCGATAGGCGATTTTCAGGAGTTGCTAAAGGTGTTGGCACAGCAAAAATTTTAGGGCGCGTTCATACTTGCCCAATACGTATTGGAAAAAGCTTGTTTCTACCATGTTCATTCACAATCATGGAGGTTTTTATATATCAATGTTGTTTTAAATCTGAATTGGGATGGATGGATAATTATTTATTATTATTATTTGATTTATTTAAAATTTAGGAACATGATGTAGACTTACTATTTGGGTTAGATATGTTGAAAAGGCATCAGGTCCGACAACATTTAAATATTCTTTGAATTGCATAAAAATATACATTTAATTAATAATTTGATTATATATTATGGTTTTTTAAGGCAATTATTGACTTAAAACAAAATGCTCTTATTATCAACGGAGAAGCGATTTCATTTTTACCGGAGCATGAGTTACCAGAACGTGCACAGATAAATCCTCTTGGCATTAACAGTTCTCAACGTGGACAACCTTTATTAAATTCATCGTCATCGATAGCAACGACATCGTCATCGACGACAACGACATCATCGTCGTCGATTTCCACACCAAATTTTATACCGCCACCTAGTCAACTATCTAATACTAACGCATCTATTCCAGGTAAGTAAAAAATCAAAAACGAAGCAAACTGAAAAATATATAAATTATTTTTTATTTATTTATACACTATTGCATTTGATTTAACTATTTAACTATTAATTTTGCCTAGCATCATCAGCATCATCACAGAGCCAAACGTATCCTGAGGAACATATTAAAAAGATAATGTCTATGAGTACAATCACAAGAGATAAGGCTATCGAATTATTAAATGCAGCAGATGGAAATTTAGAAATAGCCCTTAATTTACTATTTGAATAAAAATTTTTTTTTGCGGTTCCAATTTGGTATTTGGTGGAAAATTTTTTATGTACAAAAAAAAAAAATTTGACACACTTTATTTAAAAATCCTTTATATATTTTTATGTTATTTCATTATTATTTATATTTTCGTTATAATAAATAAAGAAAATATTATATAGTTTACACAAATTTTCTTAATAGGATCTAGTCGATTTTGTGATCCACCATAATAATAATTTCTAACCTTCTGCATATTTTTAAGCAGTTGCGACAGAATAATTTTCCAAAAACCTTGATTTGTTTTTTTTGCACGTTGAAACTAATTACTATAAAAATAATCATGCTTGACCAGAATTCGTCTGCAATAGAAATGTGGTTAGTGGTTAAACCACTAACAGGTAACATAGCTAGACAAGGTAGCTAATTAAGAAACTCGGATTGCACGCTCGCAGCACATAATAATAAAAATTATTTTCTTGACAATAAAAAATGTTGATATTGGACGCGTGATTTTGACTGCGAGTCTGATAATATTTACCACTAAATCCATGAACGAAGGCGTTGGAAGGAGAATTTTATGACAAGAAAAAAGACACATTTCCGAAAGAGCCACACCATCCGAGCTATTCGAGCTATGATAATTTTAATAAATTTCAAAAAAAAAAAATACGGTAACTTAATACAATATCATCCATCGCCCGCCTGATCACCAATTACTCTTCTCCACAATATATTTGACCAATCCGTTAATGAATCATTCCAACTCCTGATGATATGTTGGTCTCATAACAAAATCAAGAAGCGAATGTAATGATTTTATGGCTGTGAATGTGAACGAACGTGCAGCAAAATTTGAAAATTGATCTTAATATTGCGATTTGACATTTATGGCTTGCGAAATAAATAAAAACAGGCGGTTCTTTATTTACAGAAGCTCATTATTATGCAAACATTAAAGCGGAAACCCTTTTTTCGATCAAAAATCTATATGTGGATATGGTTCTTGAGCATGCTAAAAATCATCCAGGTCTTGTCTTCCCATGTATGCATATACATTATCCTTATTTGATGTGGTATTATAATATGTGAAGAAAATTTCAGGCAAAGTTTTTTCCCAAGTTCAATAATTTGTTTTCTCGGATCAACGATTCTGAAAAAATTTCACGTAGACCAGTGTCAAAGTACTTTGGGCTGCATGTAGTTTAGATGATGAAATAAATTTTATACTAGGTAATATAACAAAGATTTTTTTTAAAAAAAGTGATTATTACATCAGATGACAAGAAATATATGCATTCTTTGAAAAATTTTTCTAAATATAAGCACACTGGAGATTTTTCAAGTACTGGACTGTCTCGAGTTTTGAACAAGCAGAACCAAAAAACTTTCTGTAATAATCTCTGGTCATGCTGCAAATACAGTTTTGACTGATCAGTATACTCACATAATCACATTAATTTCCTTACAAATGATATTGAAATTAGTTTGGGCTTCAAAAGTTAAATATTTTACAAATTTCATGCTGTTGGTGAATATTTACAAAAAAAGATCACTTCTTATGATAACAGGAAAGCAATACCTTTCTAAGCTCAAAAATAGTTATAGGCATACATCAATTATTTATCTCAATTCATTTGAAGACAAACATAAAGGCCTAGCATGTCAATACTTGAGTTTTAAAATTATCATCAATAGGAAAAAAATTTGATGATAAGTAAGGAGGAAGTGAAGGAGGAAGTAAATAATTTATAATCACAATCTAGAATTGCTACTATTATAATATTAATAGTAATAAAAAAAAAATGATAGGTAACTATTAATATTTGATTTAATTCACATCCAAAAATATTGTCATTGTCTTTAAATGATATATTAATAATGTCAATTAACCAAACCAATTAAATCTTATATGGTGAAATAGGCCTAAATTTTTTATTATTATATATACAGACTTCATGTGAAAAGAATTACATTCAATACAATGTATTCAGTTTGACTAGAGCATGTATTTGATCACCAAGTTCACCAGACACAGCACAAAACATCCAGGTGTGTAAAAATTATTATTATTATTCCTCCATCCATATAAATTGATTAAATATTTATGCTGCAAGGCTTGATCAGATGTCATTCTTTGATCTAGTGGTGTTAGCCGTTTAAAAATTCTTAGCCGGCTAAGCCGTTTACTACCTAAATTGGTAATTTTATTTCTATAACAAGAAAGTAACGCAGAAATCTATTACCAAATTTAGAAATTATGCATGCAGATTATTAGCCGAACATCACTACTTTGATCTCTATCTACCTGACACAATTTAAGGATAAAATCTATAACAGTTTCAATTTCATCAATATCACTTCTAATTGATTTAAATGTAAAAAAATCTAGGTCACCTTTCATTAAAGCTCAACATAATCATTTGGTATTCCTTCCTCTCCCTAACCTTAACATGATTATTAACATTCCAAGCATATTTTTGTGACAACATATAGTAATTTATTATTCCAAATGACCAGATATCAATGGATTTGTCATATTCACATTGAGCAGTATCACCATCACTATCACTATCTGTTGTAAATGTCAAGACTCTATCTTTGAATGCCTTGGCAAGCTCAGGTGCAACATATAAGGGTGTTTCAACTAAATCTGTGCTGGTCTGTTCAATATAATTGCCCATGCTGTCAATAGATCCTTCTATTTTTTTTTGACTCACCCATGGTTGCTTGCCAAAACTCCTCTGGAAATCAATCAGCAGAGTTTCAGCAGGTAACACACTAATTGTTTGTTAGAGTTTTGGCAGAGTTTTTCACATTTAGGGATTTTGACAATTAGCAGAGTTTTGGCAGGTTACACACTAATTGTTTATTAGAGTTTTGGCAGAGCTTCGGCAATCATTAAGAGGTTTTGGCAAGCAACTTTAGACTCGCCAAAATCAATCAACTTAACTTAATTAAAATTAGAATCTGTAAACATGATGTTGTCAGGTTTGATGTCTCAATGCATTATGTGATTCTCATGAATGTAATAAAAAAAAACACTTTAAAAAGTGATAGATTTTGGAGGGAATAAAAAAATTAAAATGTTACTATATGTAGTATAAAAGATATACAACTATTAAAATGATTGAATATAATATATGAATACATTATTAATAAAACTATAATAAAAATGTTCTTGTCTTTATAGCTAAACAAATTTGGAAAGCCCAAAATTTTCCAGTGTTGGAATTTATAAAACCATTTAATGTTTTAATATAGTCCTCAAGATAGGGTTTCTATTCATAATACAAATTCTTATTTGAATTAAAAGGTTTATTCAAATTTAAAAGTTTATTTGAATTAAAAATTTAATTTGCTTTATTCAAATTATTTGTTTTATTTGTTTTATTCATTATCAGAATCTTGAGTTTGTTCATTCATTTATTAGATTATTTGGAATCATGGGTTGTTCAATTACTTAAATATTCAAACTATATATACAACAAGGTTTAATATTGATTTTATTATTATAAAAATTGAAATTAAAAATGAAACTAATAAGGAAAGACTGAAACAAGATTCATGTTTCTTTTAATAAATAGCAATCTTTCCAGTGAGCTTGAATTTAAACTGGACCTTAATTATTTGTTTTATCCGAATTAATTTTTTTGAATTATTTGCTTTATTCAAATTAATATTAATATTAATATTAATTTCCTTATTTGAATTAATTTTTTTATTTGAATTAATTTTCTTATTTTTTTATTTGAATTAATTTTTTTATTTGAATTAATTTCCTTATTTGAATCAATTTTCTTATTTGAATAATTCGTTTTATTCAAATTAAAATTTATTTGAATAAACTTTCAATGTAATTCGAATACTCAAATTCATAATGAATAAAGTGAATAATTCAAATAAACCTTATTTGAATAGAAACCCTACCTCAAGACTTCCCCCACAAAGATATGTAGAATAATTACTAATTCTCCTCATCAAAATAATCATCAACTACCTTTATAATATTCTCATGGTCCAACATTTTTAAAAATATCAATTTCATGTCTATTCTGTTTTTGTCAAATTTTCTATCACTGACATTGATAATTTTAGCAGCATAAATGTTATCATCATCATTACAATTATTTGGTCTAATTTTTTTAACAATGCATGATTTACTAATTTCATTATGGCCATTACTATCATCTTTATTATATACAACATGATATCTTTCTCCTGATTGAGTAGGTAAACAATTCTTTTCTTCTCTGAAAAGATTTTCAAAATCAGTTTTGACATCTTCAAAAAACTCTACTTCTGTATAAATATAATTGAATAAATAAAATATTAACCAAATATATAAACAAAAACATATATACTACTTACTAATAAAGTCCTCTTGGGTCTTGATTAAAATTTTATCATTATGATTTAAAACATGTTCTTTGCTTGGTCCCAAGCATCTATTATTAGCAAAAGTTTTCTTGCTCCAACCATTTTTTATAATTGTTTCAAAATCTAATTCCTTAACATAGTGCATGTTGTTTGTTTTTCTCAAATGGATGGTAATTAATGGTAATAATAATATTATAGAAGCGATAATGATTTCATTATGTGCATATTTACAATTGAAATTATACATTGTATACTTGCAACATATGTTGGATTGTTAATCCTCAAATTGCATGCCTGGTCACACCCAATAGTTATATGATTTGAACTTCTGATAAAACAACTTTTTGATTTAGATATATGACTGATGAGATTGGTTTAGCTTCAATTTTAGCAAACTAAGCACTGAATTTAAGGCCAGTATTATAATGATTTGTTGTTGTAATAATAATAACTCATTAATCTCACAAAATTATCTTCTATTCTTCTTTTTTGTTGACGTCATAGTGGTATTTTAAAAAAGAAAGATTAGTTGTTTGATCAATAAATGCCATTACACATTAATTATTTATGTATTATTTTTTTTGTTTAATGTGAATTGTTTTTTTTTTCATGGAAAACAATTTATTTTCAAAGATGACAAAACATGAGTCTCCTAAAAAAGATGTGTTAATGGCAGAGGTACTATTTTCTATTTGTATTGATATATATATATTTACTTGATTTTATTTGTAGTCTTTTTTGTTATAAATATTTTAATTAGAGTAGATCTTGCTGGGTAATTATAAGATTCTTATCAAGATGGTAAATGGTTGTTATTTTGCTTTTTGTTAATAATATTATTATAAATAATTAATTACAAGATACCAGCAGCACACCATTGAAAAAGAAACAATTCAAATATGAAATATTTCAAAATGTAATGTTTGATTATCAGAAATTAGCAGGCATTGAAGCACACATGCTACCTTGAACACTTTATAGTCATTTTCAATGCCTTCCTCATATACACAAGGTTAATCTGACCTGCTTCGCCCTATAGATATGATGATACAACAGAATTCAAGGGGGGGAAGTGCATAGCTCTGGAGTTTATCAAAACTGCATCAATGACACTTTCATTAATTTTCCCTCACAGTACCAGACCAGTGAAGGCTGCTAGCATGCTAGCTGAAAAGTTGCCTACCTCTAGGGTAAGAATGGGTCTGTCACTATGATCACTGGAATCAAGGAGAAAGCTGTCAAATAAAGTGATTCGGATTTTGTTTGGTATGTTCCATATAAATAAATCATTTTATAAATTCTCTGTTCCTTTAATATTTATTTGACCAACTGAATTTGTTATTTAAATGGGGATAGGGTTGTTGGTGATTAGGCATGCCACCAACAAGACAGCAACCCAGGACTCAAAACTCTGAATCAGGGAAAATCCAAAACAGCAACTTCCCAGGTTGTAACTTCCCGAGTTGGAGAATTTTCAACCAGTTGTAGGTGCCAACTTTATGATACAAATTGGGATAACACAAAGCAAACATTGCACAAATGCTGATCTTTATCAGCAATCAGTACCAATATGGCAACTGCAAGCCTGGTCTGAGGGAAAGATAATGGATGTTTTGTCCAAAGACTTCTAGATTGTTTAAGTCTACTTAAGGTTGTGGGTGAAACTCCTCCAGAAATCAATCAATAGAGTTTTGACAGGTTACACATTAATTGTTTATTAAAGTTTCAGCAGAGTTTCACATTTGGGAGTTTTGTCAATTGTCAGAGTTTTGACAATCATTAAGAGGTTTTGGCAAGCAACCTTAAGTCTACTTCCCCTCTGGAAAGAAAATTCCATGTGTTGAAGAGTGCTTAATTGCACTGTCTTGCAATTTGTGATAGGAAATTTTAATTAAATCTGACACTCGTGATCAACATCAGATTTATTTGTGGTTTTTAAGGAACTATACATTGGGTATACATGCAGCCCAAATTGGTTTGGTGATTTTGATAGTCAAAATTATTCCAATTTTGATGGTAGAAAGTAGAAATTAATTATGGCATTCACTATTAAAAACATAAGTGTAACACCCCTTTACTGCACGTGTAACCCCCTTTATGACAATGTCAAAATACTTTGGGCTGCATGTATAACATTGGGAACTACAGAGATTTTGTGTAGACACATATTATTAAAAGTTTCATTTGTGCATAGCCTTGGTTTATCATTACTTGGGTGATGCAATTGTTTGTTATGTCAATGATAACATCAAATGTATTGAATAATAATCATGAATATTTAATGGATGGAGGCATTCACATACAATGAAATGATTAAATAGCTAATTCATGTTTGTTTATTAAAGATATATAATTAATTATATTTAAAATATACAATAAAAATATTGCAAGGCTGCACCACTATGTCAATCAAGCTATATATCAAACTGTTATGTTTGTGCATGATTTAAAATTCTTTTGTGCTAATTTAGGGTCCCATGCTTATATATAATCTATTGGTTCTCTTTTTACTGGTTGAATGATGCCAAATTGGGTAATGGAGTATCAGTAAATATGAGAATCTGATAATTCTTTAAAAAAATTATCAAGGTATTGGCATACTGATAAGTTATTAATACTCTTAGTATTTTTATCATATAGTCTAATAAACTAATAGCTCTTTTATATTGTAATTAAGTTATTGGTTAAATATTTCTAAAGCTCTTTGTACTAAAATAATATCATAATCTTTAGTAGTAGTTAGGACTTCTATTTGAATAAGGTTATTCAAATAAATGAATAATTGAGTAAAAAATAATTAAGCAAAAAAATAAAGCAGATAATTTGAGCAAAAAATAAAATGAATAATTTGAATAAAAAATAATTCGAATAATTCAAAAACAAATAAAATGAATAAAATGGCATTCAATTTGAATATATATTAATTATTTATTTCAGATACTCTTAATTATTTCGGATACTTGTCAAACATTTGTTACAAATATTGTTCAAAAATGATTATCAATTGATAACAAATAGTACTTGTAACTTATTCCAGTGCTGGAACATGACCCATCGTGACCTGAGTGACCTGAGTGACTGGTCGTTGGTCACTTAGGTAAAATAAAAAAATTTGATAATTTATATATACTTTATATATTTATTTAAATGTAATTTAATATTAAGAATTTATTAAAGTGTAAAAAAAAATTCATCACTTTCTAAAAATGTTGGGGGCTCTAAATTAGAGTCAAATAAAGATAATAAGTGCCATTTTGATTGAGTGTCATCAGCGGGATGAACATTTTTTCCACAAAAATTAAAA